ATAACATAGTTTTATATATGTAAATATATATATATATATATATGTGTGTGTGTGTGTATACACATATATCATAGTATATAATTGGATCCGTATATTCATTGTACTTTGTATCCCTATCTGTACGCATATCATCATGTGATTCTTGGACTCCAGTACGCCCATATGGAAGCGCCGAGGTGCCCCAATAATAAGGCATGAAGTTTTCTTCGACGACAACGCCAGCGTAGTCCCACATCCAAACAAGCGGAATATTGTTGATGTCAGGTGGCTGGGTAAGTTTATATATATATATGTGTGAGTGTGTGTGTGTGTGTTTGTGTTTGTGTAAATTCGCACTGACGTTAAGTCAAAGATGTCCCTCTAGGACAATGCCAGCGAGATCTGTCGGAGCTTATCTCTGTGTGTGATTTAGACGCCGTATTGAATCCCTAGTCGCTTCGTTTCGTTAAGGTTGCGTTTAAAGTTCATTTGTCGTAGGGCTCAGGTCTGACGTTCGGAGACTATCAGTTCGATTGTATTCAATCAAGGCGACCACAATCAATCGAGTGTTAGAATTGCATTTGGAGGACCCTAAACTCACCTTCAAACCCTAGAACCCTAAAATTTGGATTGCTAACATGTGTGAGGGGGTGTGCCTGGCTTTGAAAACAGTGGCAACGTCCGAAGTGGACTGCTAGTTTGTGCTACGAAAGCTCACAACCCTCTCGCACGTAACTGCGCAATTGATTGTTTCTTCCGTGCACATATTCTCACTGTATGCAGAATACTTAGCCAAGTCAACACCCAACTGTCGCGTATTGCACCACCCATCTAGCGTCCTCTCAGGGCACCATAGGTACAAAATTCTTACCCACACATACTACACCTTAAATATACATATATATATATATATATATGCCCAAATCTGTATACAGAGGGTGACCATCCCGGAGAGCAGGTGGAAATGGACTTGTTTGCGCATCGTTATGTAGTGCGTGTATCGCCGCTAATGGCTATACTTGATCCGCACTACTTTATCAATGAAGTTCACGAAGTCTGTCGCAGGTGAGTGTTTGATGGATATCCAATTAGTATGGTGTCCTATATTTTGTATGGTCCACATTTAGTTCAAATATAGACTAGCTGGTTGTATCGCATTCTGGTATATCTTAGTTCTGAGTGAGTTGTCCTCGTATTTCCTAAATGTGGTTTGAAAAGTATAATCCATCTCGGTATCATCAAGTATTTAGTGCGCAAAAGTCTGTCTTAGCTGAGGTTTTTGTTGTTTTTTTAGTGTGATTTCTCAATAGTAGAGACCAAATACTATTTTCTACTCCCAATTCTTCGGAGTCCCAATTCTTCGGTGCAAAAGGCCTGGACAAGCTATGATCTAAAATAGAATTCACCAAACTATTCTTCTAGGCAACCTACTTACTTGTTCGCCTTCCATCATGGTGTGCTTCTTTACTGTACACATTAGTAAGCATCTCGGCTCTGCAACTGGTTACACCGCTTTAGCATCTGCAATCGTTTGTCATGCACCATACTCTACTTGTCTACTACTAAACCACTCATACTCAACTGAATCTTACTCTATATAAATACAAACGCAGAACGCGACACGCGGATAAAGACAGAGGAGTTGTTAGAACAAGGCGGTCGACGCTAAGTGGACCGCTGCCGAGTACCTTGGTGGAGACCCTCGAGCAATACGTGCAGCAGGCAGGCGATAAAGAAGGTCGCGATCTAGTTATATCCCGCACAGAGGATAGTTTAGAGGTGGCTCGCGATGAAGTAGATAGTACTAGTCACGCGTCTAGTAGCTCCTGATGGTGTATACTATAGAATATATTAGAGACATCCTTTTTTCTTTTAAATAAAATAGTCTAGTATTAGTTTAGCTAGGTGAGCTGCAGTCTTGTTCTATACCGATTGAGTTGTATAGTGTTTTTGAGCTGCTGTATGTAGACTAATTTTACATTTTGAAATCCAATAGAGGTGCAAGCTTGTTGGGTGTGGAAGACGCGCATGGAAAGAGTACTTTAGTTTGAGCACCCCCTCCTCTTTCCCCTCCATTACCAAGTATCTCATTCGAGAGTTGTCGATGCGGTTCCAAGTTGTAAACAAGTTCGGTACTTGTAGAATAAATAAGCTATCCAATTTAAGCCTATTGTCTTATTTGCTTTACGAGCAGATGGTGCGGAGTCGCTTACTTTGGTCATGCTTACTTGAATCGGTTGATTACCCTGACATGGGGAACTCCCCAAGCTAGCACGTGTATTTCAGGTTGCACTAGTATTACCAACCCGATGCTGCAGGAAGAAATTGTTCTTCTTTGTTATTTACCAGAAGTGTGATATAACAATTGTCTAATCGGGTGATTTGAAGTGCTGGGTTACATGATTTTCATCGTGATAGAATGTTGTGCATTTGCTGAAACAGGAGTAAAATGATGAAATAAAATGATATAAATATTCCGTAATCCGTATGACTATGTGTTTTACCTATTTAGATCACTTTTAAAAAAAAATACAAACTACTGAATCGGGTACTGACAGCACGTACAAACGAAAAAATATTATTTTTAGAAATTATATGTACAGCGTGCAGATTCTTACGCTATTATGGATATATGTATCCACCCCATATGTAGATATACAGATTTCGTACGCTATTATGGATATATATATCAACCCCATATGTAAATATACATATTTCGTACGCCATATGTAAATATGCATATTTCGTACGCTATTATGCATAATGTATCAACCCCAGATGTGAATATACAGATTTTGTATACCATTATGGATAGATTGAAATCAGAAGCCTTGATTTTATTGATTTTAGAGGAGACTATCATACTATGTGTTCAATTTTCAATTTTCAATTTAGGAGGCTACATATGACAAATATCAATCATTAGAGGCTACAAGTAGTTTAAGATTTCGTACGATAGATCAGTGTTGATTGGCGATTGGCGTGCAACGTTAATAATCATTTGCGTATGCGACCATGAGTAAATATGTGTACGCCAACTTTTTGTTTTGCCACAGATTCTTCAGATTCCGGCAATGGGCAGTTGGGCTGAATAGTTAACGTCACCATCTCAGTGAGTTTTAGCTGACTTGGTAAACGACATGACATTTTAGATTTCCGACATGTTTCCGCCGTCGTTAACCTTTCTGGCATGGCAATATTGGCGGAAACCTAGTGTCGGTAACCTGTCGCCTTGAACAGCTAGATTTTAAATATTAACCAATGAAAAGACTTAATTTATCCATAAGCCAATGAAATATATGTATTAACCTCAATAATAGTCATGGCGGAAACTAGAGGTTAACGACACGACAGTTTCCGACAGTATCCGACAGTCGTTTACCTGTTGAATATGGCGACTCTGACGCCCCCTCATACCAAGCCAGAGTTTTAGGCTGTTGTTTTTTTGTTTTGTTTTTTACAAAAGGGTTTTTACTGTAAACATTTGTCATTCAGTATAAATCAAACCAACCCGAGTTAGTGTTTATACCCAACCCAAACCAAAAACACAAACGTAAAACCTTCAATAGCGATGTTTATAATATATTCATTTGTCCTTTGTTATACACTCTACACTGTACCATCCCACCACACTCCAGTTATAATATAATATTGCGATCAAGAGTATAAAATGGTACAGCTGAGTCACAAACTTCTCAGAACGGCGAAACAACAAAAATGGTGTTGTATCGTGGGCTCAAGGATTCTGGCCAGATTCCAATCCAGCACAAGCAGTTGCTTAAGACTGGAATTGGATAACACCTCCGACAGTATCGACTCCCTACTGCCTATCAATTAGAGACTAAAGCCAGACATGGCTTCGCACTGCAACAAACTCGAAAAAGAATATGCTTTCATGGCAATCACGTCATTCATGATGCGTGCTGCTCTGTTAGCTAAATATTGAAGTCAATAATGAATGCAACCTGCAACAACCCAGCGCAAGTGTTCGGCAACCCATGCTCCTCGCTACCTTGTCAGCCAGGGAAGCCGTAGCACTGCAGTCGTCCCTAGTGGATATTTTGGGGGAAACTATGGCATTAAAATTCGATGTTCATGTTCGGTGCTAAATTATCAATTTGGAAACTAATTCACCGGAGTCAGGCAGTCAAGACTAAACAGTAACCGAGCCGGTGACGGTGTACCAAACTCAGAACTTCGAACTGAAGTAAACCTCAGCGCAAAACTTTTATATGTTACACTTTTATCAATTTATTGGCATCAAAGCCAGTCATGGGTTCGCACTGCAATATAAACCTTCTTTAAGAAAAGGTGGGTATAGCAGCCCGTACCATAGTCATAGATTCGTGTACGAATGTAAATATGTCAGACATGCGGCGCGCAACTTTTTAAGTCGACCTGAACTCACTTTATATACATTGTCCTCTGGATGAAATTCGAGGGAAGGAAACGTTCGCTGGCAAGTGAAGGTTTCAATTGAAGTTTGAGTTTCTTGGAAAGGTGGATGTGCGGTGTTGGAAAACGTTGATATGACTATCTTTAATGAATTGGATGATATCACCGCAAAATTTGGGTTGATATTTAACAAATAATAGCACAACTGGACATATTAATACTCGACATCATTGTGTGATGTTGTTGTCTACAAATTACCCGCTACCGTTTGGCAATGTTTGTGCACGCTTCCGTTGATTGGCCTGCGAACAATCACTTCCCATGCGTCGAAGGCTTGGTTCTTTGCTACAGAAATTTTGAAGAAATCCTTTTATATTACCAAGTCAGATAATAATATATTCTCGATTCTGAGGTGATAGTGTATTTAATGTGCATGGCAGATTATGTAGAGTTACAATTGTGAACAAATGAAGTTCAAAGGTTGTAGTGAGTTGGCCGCAATGCATCACACTGGCACTGTTGTTTGGTTAGGGAGTGCTTTGTGATCGTGTAACAAGTTCATCCAGAGATTTGTTGAGTGCAGCCTTCGCCCTAATATTTTATTGGTTTTCTCTACTATTTACAAACGTTAAACGTTAAAAAGATTAAAAACGTCATTCATTCCCCGTTACGTACATAAATACAATATGTAATTCGAATCTCATAATATTTTTTGACCATATATTTTATATAAAAAAGCCAAAAATGCAAAAAGGCAAGCGTGACAAAACGTCCGGCAATAAAGTTTTGAAAGGACTTCCAACTTCCAACTTCCAAGCTTTTTTTGTTTTTTTTTAAAAACATGGAAATATAACGCTTTCAGTGATATTTATTTATTTTTATTATGCTTTATAAAAAATATTAAATATCTCGGTACGAATTTGTGAATATATTTATCGTTCGGACGGTCCACAAGAAGTCAATAACAGTAGTGCATGTGGCAAGTGCACTTGAACCGCAACCTTTTATGTATGACATATTTCCGCTACACTAACGAATCGCGGTCGAGCGTGCGCGCTTTCAACCCTCTATTGTATAAATGTATCAATTTAGTTCAAATCTCTGCAGACTACACATGCAGTAGACACAAAGCAACACGTTATGAAGGGTGGGGCGGCCTTTGTGCCGCCTTTCCTTCTTGTAGTATGCTGGCTGCAGTGCATGCTGCATTGTGGGCTTGTTTCGGCAGCATCAGATGATTGTGTTTATCCCTTAGAAGACAGAGATCGCGGCTGCACGGCGTCTGTTAATTCAAAGGTATGTTTGTAGATTTAATTGAGAGTGTGGAATTATGATCTTTGTCATATGTGGGAATACAGAAACAGATCTTATGCGTTCTATTATGCATATGTGTAAACATATTCTGCGTATATATATATATATATATATATATGTGTGTGTGTGTGTGTGTGTGTGTGTGTGTGTGTGTAGTGTACTAAGTAATA